TGTGTGTGTGTGTGTGTGTGTGTGTGTGTGTACACGTGGTGAAACACCAAACCAATGTGCCAGGATCTGGACAATAAGATGTGTCTTATCTTATCTTATCTTATCTTATCTTATCTTAAAACAGCTTTTCGCTACAGAGCGCGTAAAATAAAACCCCCAACCCATTTGCAGCTAGCTATGTCTCCATTTTTGTAGCATGACGCACTAGTTCGCAGTAGGCCTACCACTAAAAGTCTCAACGATTGGGCCATATTGCAAGCGACAGTAGTCTAACAGGCCAACAGAAGTTTGGTCATAGTTTTTATCAAGTTTTCTTTGCTTGTCGATTGGTTAAGATTAGTAAAGAGCAGAGAGCTTTTTGTATTTAGCATTTCCTCACCATCAACTATATCGTAAGTTTCGCACACGGTGAAAAACTCATAAAGTCTATCTTTTATCTTTCTTTATCGCCCGTTTTCTCAAAACGCTGTTTTTCTGTATACTTTTTTTGAATAACTCCACCTTTTTTTCATCCAATCTTCATGGCATTTTCAAAGAATGAAGAGAAGATAAAATACTATTTTTTAAAAGTTCAATTTTTTAATAGATTTTTGTTGGTGGCATCTGGAATGTGGATTTTCACGGATTTTGTGCAAACCTGAATACTACCCCAGGAAAAAAATTCATTTAACATTTTGTAATTCGTTTAGGAAAAATTCAACAGACAAATTTGTAGATCTAATGTTTGCTAATATGTATGCCAAAGAAAACCTACAACAACAATCTATTTCCATGAAAAATTAGTGCGGTAGATCTATTCTTTACGTAAGACATGTCAATAAATCCAATGGCCATGGAAATGAAACTTTTTTCCCAAATTTGAATACGGATTATAAGACTCCTTGTTATGCTTGTTATATGTGTGATATTTTGTCAAATTTGATCCACTAATAAGCGAGATAGCTTTCAGGTGTAGGTGTAGCCCCCCCCCCCTCCCCCCTTTAAGACCCCTTTTGATATCAAGGGTGAAAATGGTCCATCTGTTGGGATCTGTAGAGAATCAGAACTAAAAATTCCCAAACGAACAGACCCATTCAGGTCAAACACACTCCGTTCGCACCCTTTTAAGTGTCACCAGGGTGCAGCATTTCAGTAGATGAGCCCCATGAGACGTATCTCCGAAGACAATGTCTGCAGCTAGGACTTTTCTACATCTCAACGGTCTGCATTCTCAAGGTAGATCTTCATCTACGACAGTATTATTTTCCTATTCGCGAAGCAGACAAGGATAAGGGGATAGCAATGAGTTCATGATTCCTCTACCGTATTGAAAAGCGTGAACTTTTCCTCAATGACATTTGGTTCACCTTTCAGTCCAGGACACGTTAACTCCACAAATGCTGTCTATTTGGGCAACATCACACAACTCTCTGGTATATCTCTAGAAACAACTTCATATTGTAACGTGTACAGAGTATGTGTCTTTGGGTACTCCTGGTTGGGTGGATCCTTGTGTTTGGCCACCACTGAACATTACGAAAGACGCTTTAAAAGGTTTGAGTCCAAAGAGAGACATATAGAGCACTGGTTCTCGGAATTCCAAAATGTTACCAATATTTCTTTATAACTGTAAGAGAAAATGAATATTATTTAAATGTTACCGGGACGTAAAGATTAGATTTTAAAAAAGAAGATGAAGGGGAAAAGACAAACCAATCATTTAACGACTCTCTTTAGTTGGTGCGGTGCATTTTGCGTTTATAGGTGGTTTTTATAAAAGCCATTTCCGTTTTCGAAAACAAATTTTTCCTTTATGATTTTTTTTTATCAAACAAATTTCTTTTGGAAGAATTATAGTTGTTCCAAATTACAACAAATTTTGTCTGAGATACATGTATTCAAAAAAAAACTTAATTTTTGGGGGGATCACCCTGTACATGTCTTCCACAGCCTTCTGCGAGATCTTTTAATCGATGTCTATGTGTGTGTGTGTGTGTAAGTGTGTGAGTGTGTGTGTGTCTGTGTGTGTGTGTGTGTGTGTGTGTGTGTGTGTGAGAGAGA